CCCCAAAACCCCAAAACCCCAAAACCCCTATAGTCCGAAATATATTGTAATGAAGAAATATGAATCAAAGTATTTTAATTCGTTTTATTATCATTTAGAGTGAATTATGAGAAAGTCTTTGAGAAAAGTTAAAAAATACAAAGTTGAATTGTATCCAGAACCTTGGAAACCCAGAGATTATGAAAGTATCTATTCATAAAAAGTACTTGCAAGTAAGTCATCTTCAAAAAGAAATGCTACAGAGGATTAGTTGAATTCTTAATACTGTGAAGAACCTGACCCAATCTAAAATTGTCATGATATACAAATGCACTCTTATCTCCTGCAAAATATAAATTCTAAAGATCTTCTTTTATTGAAGTACATGCAAAAATTTCCAGTGAGATAGGATATAAAAAGAGCGAGGGATGGCGATGTGAAAAATTATCCAGATACTCGTAAAAATCCTATTAAAAGAATGAAATTAGAGAGAGTAATAGAATTCTTACACCACAACAAGAGTATTTATTAAGAGTATTTAGACTTCGATATTGAGAAAACATCTCACAATAAAACCTAAGACTACAAATCTAGCAAGCAGCAAGTATTAAAATAATCCTAGGGCAATAAATAAAATAAAAATGGAAGATAGTCAGTAAGTTTTAAACTGCCCATTGAAAGTTTTAAGATGGAGAAAAATTAAGACAAGAGAAATAGTAGTCAGCAAACTAATTATAAGGACTATGGCTCCTATTAACAACAAGATAAAAATATTTATAAATTCAGTGATGAGCGAATACTCGAAGAAGGCCCTGGTGATTTTCAACCTAATGAAAAATAAAGGTAAATGATAATACATTTGTAGCCTCTATAAAAACCGGATACTACACCGTTCAAAACTAAAAGTAATGCCAAATTTCACAATGAAGAAGTAATGTCAATGTCCTAAAAGCAATTATCAATGGCAAATTTATAAAGTCCAAAGGAAAAATCCCACAATTTAGAAGAGCAAATTCAGTCTCTAAGGAATGTGAAGTTTTTGATGAATTATAAATCTCAAAGTAATCATGTTAGTCCATTTTAGTCTTAAAAATTCTTAGATAAGCGTAGCTCTAACTAAATCAATGACATTAAATAAAACACAGATTCACTACAAAATATAAAATTCTAAGATATTAATAAATTTAGACATCATTATCAAACTCCTTAAATGAGCAAAAATCTAAGGACAAGTTATAATATCACAAAAAGGGAGATACTCAGATCTCCAGATCTAAGTGTCAAAGATTAAAGTTTGAGAAACATTCAGAATAGTTCTTCAATAAAAGATTATTCAGTTAATTAGAGATATGATTCGTAACTTTAAAGCCAAAGAAGTGAGTAAATGGATTAAATGCTTAGAAAGTGCGATTTTCAAAGGAAAAACTTGAAAGCTTAAAGATTCAAGTTAAACAAAGAAATAAAGTATTTCAGATCAAGCTATCAGAGTTGCTAACGATAGATAGATCTTAATCTATAAATAAATCATTTCAATGCTCAGCAAGATGACCATTAGGCAGTAAATTACGAAGATGAAGAGAGGGTGGATGATCACAGCTTTGATAAAATTAAGATTGACAACTCCTAGCTTCAAGAAGCGAATAGATAAATAGAAGAAATAATAAATAATGCAAAGATAAGATCTGATTTTAGAGTTGATAGTCCTTATACAGAAAAATCTTAGATAAGTGGGAGCATTATTCAAAAATTGATTTAAGATTTTCTCTACAAAAAAATGACAAATAAGGCCAAAGTTAAAAAAAGAAGGAATCTTTCTCCTGAGGAACAGGAATAGCAAAAAGAACAGGCTGATAGAGAAAAGTTAAAGAAAATGGGCGATGATTTTGATTAAAAGTCGTAAATTTAGGCTAAGCTAGATAAGAATCTCAAGAAAATTCCATTTAACAGAGCAGAATTAGAAGAATTAATGAGTGATTAGAATTTCGCTGAAATTTATGCAGATTTCGAAAAGTACAGACCAAGAATTAGTAAAGAATCTAATAGGGATTAAATACCATTACATCTTAGAAAGTCTAAGCTTAAAAATAAAAAAGATACAACTTTTAGAGATTATGATCAATTAGATTTTCTCTTCTAGTGATACTGAAAGCAAATAAATATAGGTTAAGCATTAATCATAACTAAATTCTATTGATGAAGTAATTTCTTTTAATTCTCAAACTGATTTGTTAAATTGATTCTTTATGGGGTTTTGGGGTTTTGGGGTTTTGGGG